CCCGAGGGTTCGGATCCCACATACGGACCGGTTCCCGCTCACTGGCTGAGCGAGGCGCGGGAGCAGCACCGAGGGTTGCGATCCTGTTGCCGGTCCCCAGTCCGGTACGGGGGCAACACTGAGGGTTGCGATCCGTTGCCGGACACGGAAAAAGACAAAAAGACAAAAAAAAAAAAAAGAATTTAATTGGACTGGTCTTACAATATGCAGATACAGCATGTGTAAAAATCAGTAAAATGAATTTTGTTGACCTAGCTCTTGACAATGTGGCTTATTCAGTATTTTGGTTAAAGTTGATTTAACCTGTATGTGTTCCCCCAGTATTTATCACAGCCTTATGCACAATGTAGGTATCAATAAAATGTTCACAGAAGGAAAACTTTCGGAACAAATGAACTGTTTCTTTTTTATTAAGTCAGCATGGAGCACGTACTATTTGCAGAGCACAAGGGTTTGCAAACCTTACTTTGGGTTGGTTTCCCTTTTGGTTGGTTTGTAAACCTGGCTGATGAATAGAATCCGTGCAGAACTTAAAAAGTAAAGCAAATATCAAATTATTTGGTCCTACCTTCTTTAGGGATTCAGTAGATCTGGAATGAGATGTAGAAAACTGTTTTTAAAAAAGCTCTTCATATTATCCTAATGATCAGCCAGGTTTAAGAACCACTGATCCATATTCTCAACTGATAGTCTGGCATTATAAAAAGTTGAAGGATGGTAATTACATTGTTCAGAATATCCCAAGAATAAGGGGCCTTTTAATTTCTCTTTGAAGAAGAAAGACCTCTGTATTCTTTGTAATTCCAAGAATTAAAAATGTAGGTAAATGCTACAAATTGGACTTTCACTGAAAGCACAAATTGGCTTCTTATAAACCTGTTTTGTTTGTCCCACAGAGGAGGAAGATGATGATCTCTTTGATGACCCTCTGCCAGTACCTTTAAGGCACAAGGTTCCATACCAGGAAACTCTTCACTCTGAGGTATTTTCAATGACTACAGTGTCACAAAACCAGCCTGAAGAGCTGAGACAAAGCCAAGACTTCTGCAAAGCAGAGAGTATGCAGAGCTCCCTTTTGACCAACTTTGTAGACTGTGAAGAATCCAATAGTGAAAGTGAAGAAGAATTAGAAGTTCCAGCTTCACTGCAAGGAGATCTGGGCCCTATAACACTTCACCAGCAAAAGGCTGATACGGATGTACCACAGTGGGAAGTATTTTTTAAAAGAAATGATGAAATCACAGATGAGGGTTTGGAAAACTTCCCTTCCTCCACAGAGGCAGGGGTATCTCAGTCACCAAAGCTTTTCAGTGACTCAGATGGAGATTCAACCCACATCTCCTCCCAGAATTCTTCTCAGTCAACACACATAACAGAACAAGGAAGTCAAGGCTGTGACAGCCAGCCTGATACTGTTTTGTTATCTTCCCAAGAGAGAAACAGTAGGGATATTAGCTCCTTGAACAAAGATGAATACAGACCAAAGATCAAAGAGTATATTCCTGCCTCTCAGATGGAACAAAATGTCCTTTGCCCAAAGGATACTTACTCTGATTCAAAAAACAGAGATCAAGATGTAACTATAGTTCCTAGTGTTGGAGAACCAACTACTATAAGTGCTGGGAAACATGTACTTGAGGAAAAAACGTTGCTAAATTTTAGCACAAATGCAGATTCACAGAGCTCCTCTGACTTTGAAATTCCCTCAACTCCAGAAGCTGAGCTACCTAAACAAGAACATTTACAATATTTATATGAGAAGCTGGCAGCAGGTGAGAGTATAGTAGTTGAAAAAAGAAAATGCTCATCCTTAGATATTTAAGAATTTAAAACATTTCATCCTGGAGGTATCACTAAAAAACCTATATAAAGAGATAATAGTCAAGATCATAATAGATAATTTAACATGGAATACTTAAAAATGCTCATATAACCTAAGAGAAGGCAGTAAAAGGGAAACAGAAGAATAAAAAAGAGGGAACAAAGTAAATAAGATGGTAGAACTAAATGTAAACATACCAATAATTACATTAAATGTAAATGGTCTAAACACATCAATGAAAAGACAGACTCAGGGGAAGAATAACCCACGTACCTATGTGCTGTCTACAAGAAAGTCAGTTCAAATGCAGAAGTAGGTTAAAAACAAAAGGATATAAAAAAGACCAATTAAAAGAAAGCAGGAGTAGCTATACGAAGTTACCTTAAAAAGTTCACAGAAAGGTTTGCATTATCTTTTAATTCTATTTGAGAAACTTTTTCCAGTACCCACGTATTAATATCCAACAATTTCCTAATGATGAAAGTCCAGTTCACCAAGAAGACACAAGGATCCTAAATGTGTATGCACCTAACAACAGCTTCAAAATACATGAAGCAAAAATAATTGAAAAGAGAGAGACAAACTAATGCACAATTATAGTTAGGGGCTTTAATTTCCCGCTCCCAATAATAGAACTAGTATATCCATACAGAAAATCAGCAAGAACATAGAAGAGCTGAACATCATCATCAGCCAACTGGATCTAACTGACATTTATATTCTACCCGGAGAGAGACAAACTAATGCACAATTATAGTTAGGGGCTTTAATTTCCCGCTCCCAATAATAGAACTAGTATATCCATACAGAAAATCAGCAAGCACATAGAAGAGCTGAACATCATCATCAGCCAACTGGATCTAACTGACATTTATATTCTACCCAATAGCAGCTGAATACATCTCTTCAAGTGGCATAAAAACACCTGGGTCATAAAAACACTTCATTTAAATTGAAAGCATAAACTTGATCTATTACAATAAACTGATGGTTACAGGAAAAATCAGCAACTTATCTCGAAAGATGCTATATCACTTAAGAACCTTGGTGCGAGTACAGTGGTACAGTTAAAACTAATTAGGACATGAAAGAAAATAATTAAGAATTAAATGGCTAAAGCATGTGTGTATTCTGTGAGTCATTCAGTTCCCATAAAATCCATCAATAAGTTATGCTTTTGTGTTAAATATGAGGATTTAACAAAGTTTTATTAAATACTTACAAACACTTTGGTATGCTGACATTTCATAGATTAAGGGAGCAAAAGCAGAGATATCCCTTAAAACAAGTTTAAGTGGAGTCTCTAAAACACACTTTGTAGATCAATTAAACTAACAATGATATGCATTATCACCATACCACATGGTAATTAGACCAAAAAGAAGTATTGGGCCCACCAGACTAATTAAGCTAACGACTCAGGGTCAGTGTATATGTAACTACGTACATTTGTATATATTCACTGACAATTAAGACTTAGTTTTAATAGTACACATTATGGCCCAAGGTGGGTATTACAGAAGATGCTTGTAAACATTCCTCTGAATATATTCCTAGCATTTATAATCACACCATCAAATTAATATTACATATTGCCACATTTTCATTGTTTTATGTGTGAGTCTGGAATTATAAACGCTGGCTGAATCAATTTAAGGGATAAGAGCACTAGAACAGACACTGATTAACAAACTTGTAGTGATCACCAGAGATTATAAAGCACAGGTTTACAGTACAGAGTAATAATACTAATATATGGTGCTTACTCTGTGATAATGCTGTAAATTTTTTACACACTGTATATTAACTCTTTGAATCTTCATAGCCACCCTTTGAGGTAGATACATTTATTATCCCCATGTACAGATGAGGAGAGCAAGGCACAGAGATTAGTTCCCATAGCCAATAAGGGGCAAAACCAGATTCAAACACAGGCAATTTGGCTTTAGAGTTCCTGGTTATAACCACTATGCTATGATGCCTTTCAAGAAAAACATGAAAATGGGCAGAACAAATTGTAGTGGCTACTTGATTTTTACTTCAAGAACCATAAATTATAAAAGGAAAAGTGAAGTTTCAAAATGCCAGGATATATCACAGAAGAAACCAAGTGGCTAATCACATTTACCTTAAAGAGGAGTCCCAGGACTTACATGTTTAAATACTAAAAATTGATTTGTTTTTTTGGACATCTGCCTGAAGTTGAAGATTAAATCCTTTAAAATAGTCAAGAATAATTTATGGTCTATTAGCTGGGTAATAATGCTAACATTAATTACTTAACTAGTCTAAGCCTTTTACTTTAGGTGTAATATAGGGAAAACAGCACCAACCTTATGAATAAAGGCCCTATGACTTGCTCAATGAATATTAGCTCTGAATTCCAAAATTCCTTTGACTTTCCTGGGAGTATTTAGCACTGTGTGTTTAAGTACCCAGTGACCAGTAATGCTCAGAAAACTTCAGAAATATCCCTCCACATCATGCTAACTAAATGTACAATTGTACTTTTAATATTCAAATATATGAACCATGATAACAAGCTCTCTTAAAAAGAGAGTAACATTTAAAGGAACTGTATATAAACCTTTGGTTAATCTTGTCAGCACGCAGTCAGGAATACATCAATATTTTTCTGCCCTTTTTCTAGCCTCACTGAAAAGGACTAAAATATTCTGAAACAAAGCTAAGCCATGGTAAATAAAACAGCAAATGCCAAACTAAATTTATTTTGCTGAGGAGAAACTTAAAGAGAAATAAGTGCAGTCTAGATTTTGCATATATGGTGGAAAACCCTGAGATTATGAATTGTGTATCATAGTCCTCTTAGGTAGATACTAAAAACAACAGTATTAATATCTGTACAGTAGATTTACATTTTAAACTTGGTCTATTGCTCTTGAATACTTGCTTGATACTGAGAGAACAAATTCTGACATCTTCAGGAAACTAATTTGAAGAAGCTATTGACTTAAAATAGCTAAAGTCCCTAACAGCTTCATTTAAATAGTTTATATTATTTTACTGCTTAAGTTCAGCTTTTAATAACAAAGGTAACATAAGTATTTAAGATCTCAAAAGCCCATTAAATTTCTATTAATAAGGACAAAAGTACAAGTTTACTGAAAACAGTCTTCTTTCCTTTGCCCTCCAGTTTGAGATTTTTTAACATAAAAAGTAGATAAGTTCAAATAGACAGTAAAACACTTATTTTTAAAAATTACATCTTTAAACCATGTGAATTATAGTTCCAGGTAAGCTTGGTCTCTAGGGCATCCTGTAAACCTTGCAATCCTTTCTCACCACTGACCCTATGTGACTAATTTTTCATAAAGAAAACACAGGAAATGCTATTAAAGTGAATTTTTCCCTTGACACATTCTGCAAATTTTGATTAGCAGATATACTCTGAGACTCCAAACATGAAAACAATTTATCCTATATTATGAAAGAGAAAAGTCACGTGATGGCAATATAATGAATAATAAAGTATACTTGCTCCCAAAAGAGGTTAAGGATTAAGAAGATACTTGAAGTGCTGCATTCTTGAAGTCAGTTCAATTTTACCCAAGCTTATTTTAGGCCATTAAGGCCTAGAGCAATGAGCTTAGGTAGAATTTATTTAGGAATACTGAAAGCTGGATTTATTTGCTGCATTTATCTTCTTGTTGGACACAATCAGAAATCCTAGAATCAGAAACAGATGAAAATGCAGTTTTTCCTGACTGAGTTTTATACTATGCAGGAAAAAAAAATGAAATGAAAAAACAACAAAAAAAGAATATATTCCATTTCAGTCTTCACAGGTCAACTAATAAAAGGTCTCATAACTCAGTCACGTATTTTGGCCAAGTTTAGCTTTATCATGTCTAAAAAATTCACATATAAAACAAGTATCAGTTCAAAATATAGATTACTTTTTAAGAGGCTGCAAGAAATATAAAAATAATAAATTTGGTGGAAAAGAAATGTTAAAACTGCCTGAAATTGAGAGAATGAAATGTTTATGTACATTACATTATCATCAGGTACAGCTGCTCTCCAGATATCTTGTTTTACAGTTTAGACGAGAGGTACTCAACATGGATCTCCTAATTCATGTTACTAAGAGGTGCCCTATTTCCCCTGTCTGTCAAAAAAACCCTCATAGTTCCACTGTCCTGTCATTTCAAAGAAGCGTAAGGGCCAGCCATTCTGGGCTTTCAGAGAGAGCTTTTTAGAGATTTTTCTTCTACAGGATTAAAAATCTTTAAGAATTACAAGTTCAGACAATACACCCCCTCATTATGGTCTAGACTGCTTCGAAATATGAAATCAAGCTGAAATTAAATTTTTCACATTTAATTTTATGCCTTAAATATCTACATTAATGCCAAAGTTTTAATGAAAAAGTAGAAAATAGAGTATAAAATTCAGTATCACCGATTTGTCTCAAACACAAGTACAGTGAGTATTAAACAAAAATAACAATATAGTAACAAAAATAGAACTTGTATATTTGCCCAAATTGATTTCTCCAAATTCAAGGTGTATGGCAAGTTGAATGTTTGATTCCAGCAACTGTTACGTTACCAGCTTAACACTTTTCAAACACTGAAGGAGGCATTTCTCTACTCACATAGATTTCTTAAGTATGCATATGCTGATAGACAATTAGTTCACCTTCCATGTTTGGTGTCTGACCACTAAATACACATACTCACATCAGTCTACGTGACCCTGTGTCCCTCTTCGGAAGCATCAGTAATGCATTTGGCAAATGTCTTGAAGCATGAACTGGAAATTAACTTAGGTATACTCTTGATAATACAAAAATTAGTCCCAAATACTTATTTTTTAAAAAATTTTAACAATTAGAAAAACCAAAACTACAATTATCATCAGCTCTATTTTCCAAAAATTCAGTTGAGGTAACCTCTGCAAGTCACAGCTCCACATTTGCATACAGTTCTCACCCTCTTTTTGTTTGGGCTATGGTCAATAGAATCTGAAGATATATCTCCAGAACCTGAATACATAGAAAAGAAATACAGGAGAAAGAGTTAAGACAATTTAGAATGAATTTCAAATTTTCTTTTAGTCTTAAAGTAGCTAGCAAGGGTGCTTACATATTCAAGACCGATAATATTATCTCCCAAGGAAATGTAAGTTCCCTTTGTATTTATAAATAAATGTGAATATTCTGAGACAAAGCATTATGTATTGTCTTGAAAGGACAGTGTGGGCTAATAATAGGTAAAGCTTATATATTTGTGAGAATGGATTTCTGAAATGATGAAACTTACTAGGAAAATCCAAATTCACTTCATTCATTACATAAGAGCACATAAAATGAGGCAGAGCAATAACAACATATAAAGGGCATCATTCTTTGAAAAACAAAGGAATGAAAACTTTTCTATTGTCACAATAAAGCAAACAATTAAATGTTCTTTTTAAAAGCCATATTCAGGTAGAAATGGAATAATTTCACATGTGACTTTTCTTTTTCTTTCTTTCTTTTTTTTTAAAAGATGTCCGGTAAGGGGATCTTAAACCCTTGAGTTGGTGTTGTCAGCACCACGCTCTTCCAAGTGAGCCAACCGGCCATCCTTATATAGGGATCCTCTTTCTTTTTTTTTAAAAGATGTCCGGTAAGGGGATCTTAAACCCTTGAGCTGGTGTTGTCAGCACCACGCTCTTCCAAGTGAGCCAACCGGCCATCCTTATATAGGGATCCGACCCCGTGGCCTTGGTGTTGTCAGCCCCACACTCTCCCAAGTGAGCCACGGGCCGGCCCTTAAATCATATTTTCAATCTCTTAAATATATACATCTTAGTAAAGATTCAGAAAAGTAGGCTTACAATTTTTTTTAATGCAAGTAGTATAGTACTGAGAAAAGATATTATAATAAATCAGCTTCCAGAATGGAAATTCTGAAAAAAGTCAGGAGGTAACGTGATGTAGAAAGAAGAAAGACCATTCCTCCAGCCCAAGGTCAGGCAGACCTGGGTTCTAGCTTTAGCTGTCAAATTAGCTTTGGATCTTAAGACGACAAACTTATAACCTCAATTTTTTCATCTTTAATATTAGTTTGGTTCAGATGATCTAACATCTTTTCCTACTCTGATTTGATTCTTCATATTAAAACAAACACCAATGAANTTTTTAAAAGCCATATTCAGGTAGAAATGGAATAATTTCACATGTGACTTTTCTTTTTCTTTTTTTCTTTTTTTTTAAAAGATGTCCGGTAAGGGGATCTTAAACCCTTGAGTTGGTGTTGTCAGCACCACGCTCTTCCAAGTGAGCCAACCGGCCATCCTTATATAGGGATCCGAACCCGTGGCCTTGGTGTTGTCAGCACCACACTCTCCCAAGTGAGCCACGGGCCGGCCCTTAAATCATATTTTCAATCTCTTAAATATATACATCTTAGTAAAGATTCAGAAAAGTAGGCTTACAATTTTTTTTAATGCAAGTAGTATAGTACTGAGAAAAGATATTATAATAAATCAGCTTCCAGAATGGAAATTCTGAAAAAAGTCAGGAGGTAACGTGATGTAGAAAGAAGAAAGACCATTCCTCCAGCCCAAGGTCAGGCAGACCTGGGTTCTAGCTTTAGCTGTCAAATTAGCTTTGGATCTTAAGACGACAAACTTATAACCTCAATTTTTTCATCTTTAATATTAGTTTGGTTCAGATGATCTAACATCTTTTCCTACTCTGATTTGATTCTTCATATTAAAACAAACACCAATGAAACTATACTTGAAAACCATACCTTTCATTTGATAATCAAAAGTCAGCTCTTCTCCAGGATTTATGGTTCTTGTGGAAAATAACGCTATTCTGGGAAGACGAGTATCGAGGTTATCAATGAAAACATTGAATACCTGAAGATTTGGGTCACACTAAAAAGGAACATTAGAACCCATTTAAGTAAAAGTGATGTGAACGAGCTCTTCTACATGCCATATAAAATCTCTAATTTCCCAGAGTATTCGTTTTTTAAATACCAGTGGAAATTAAGTTACTTATCGTTTAGAGGTCTTTGAAGCATGCACATTTAAAAATACTGTTTTCACTTATAAAAAATTTCTGACATACATAAAAGCAGAGAAAACAATATAGTAAATCTGCACATATCTACCATGTACCTTCAACAATTATCAACACGTTTGCCAATTTTATTCATCTAGTCCCAACTTTTTTTTCTGGAAATTTTAATGCAAATTCCAGATGACATTATTATTTTACCTATGACTATTTCAGTAAGGCATATACTTTTAAAAAAGTAGAATAATTATTTAAAAATCAAATCAGCACCACAGAACTCAAATTGCATATTGCATGGAGTTTCATTGCTAAAATTCTTGCTCAGAAGTGCTTAATATTTTGAGAACTCTCCACTAAATTATGGAATATGCAAGAAGAGAGATCTAGAGAATCATACTATTAAATAAGTTTAATTGTCCTTAGAATATATTTCAGGAGTATCTCAAATTTATCGTTAAGAAAAAAATTCTTCATCGTAAAAGTTTAAGTAAATCAGAAAACTAATAAGGGAGTCAGAAGGTCTCTGATATTTAACTGCTAATCATACACTAGTTTCTTAGTATGAAATCCATAAGAAGTTTAACATGGTCTACTTCCTTGTATGATCAGCTATATAACTTACTGTCTGAGACATATTTTTCTTATTATTTATAAAATATTATCTATAAAATGGAGATAATGTCAACTCACAAGCCTAATGTTATGTTTCCACCTGACACTTAGGAGGTGCCTAAAATTAACTTCCCTTATTTTTGGAAATAGTTTTTGTAGGTTGTAAGATTCTGGAGTTAAGATTCCAAATGTATTCTAAGTTCTTTCAAACGTGAATTAAAAATTAAGAATACTAATTTATAACTTAGAAAAACAGCCCTAAATATTTCAATATTCTACAAATCCTTAAAAAAAAAAGTTAACATTTACATTTNACAGCCCTAAATATTTCAATATTCTACAAATCCTTAAAAAAAAAAGTTAACATTTACATTTTGAGAAAATACATTTATCTTTAGTTATACATTCTAAAATTTAGTTAACTTCTGTAAGACACCTGTATAGTTTTATGTATATTAATGCCTCTCATGAATTTCCTCCTCTGATATGAAGATAATACCTATCCTATAAGGTTATTGAAAAGTTGTTATTGGTTAAATAAAGTAGCATATGTAAAGACCCTTGCAAAATGCATGGTGTTTTGCAGGCACCTCAATGTTTATTTGCCTAATAAAGCAATACTATCACTTAACAGAAAAGTCCCTCATATTAAAATACTTCAGAAATGTTAAAAAGGTATGTAGTTTAAAGATAACTGTCCTTCAACTATAGAAACTCATTAAAAACAGTACTAAGTTGTATTACTAGTCTTGTCTACAGTTTAAGTATTTTTTTCTTACACTGTGATTCACAAAATGAGACACATTTCCAAATCGAGCTGCATCCACTGTGAATTCATCAGATTCATAATCCAGATCAAAGAGATATGTGATGCCTTTGTTGTCATATAACTGCCCTCGTCTTTCAGCTTCTTCACTTGTGATTACCTAAACAGAAATGCAGTATATTATGTAACTATTGCTGAACCAAAGAAACACTTATCCATAAATCTATTTATATAAATGCCTACAAATGTTTAAAAAGTATGAAATTCAAGTGTCATTCACACATTCACACAAACTAGAAGCTTGATGGAAAGAGATGGAGAAATGAAGGGAAGAAAAAAAGAATTACAATTACTTAAATAGAATTTGAGACAATTAACAAGTTGCATCACTGCACTACTTTCATTATAATTAGGATGTTCAAAAAGCTGTACAACTATAGCTCTCTATAGGACATAACTGAAGGTAAAGGACTAAATTTACAAGTATATATGCTGTAAATATGCTCCAAAGACACACTTTTCCCATAATGAATCTGTGTGCAGTTATAAATGGCAACTTACTAAATGCATGGAAGAAGATATGTTATATTTGAAGTCAACTGTATGGAAAGTTTTGTTTTGTAGAACAGATTATTTTCATGAAATTCCATAGTTCAGAACCATTATCTACAGTCTGCCCTTAAGAACACAACTTTATCACATGCTAGCTCAAAAAACCAAAAATATCTAAAGTGATTCATGCTATCAACCAAATTTGGCTGCTGCATTAAGCCAAAAAACACAACAATTTGTATATGATCTAGTATTCCAAAGAGTGATTTATAATAATATGCTACTGCCTATAAGTATAAAGATCAATACAGGAATCTCATTTAATTTCAGAATTCTAGAAGAATATAGACAATTATAGATAATCCCAAAAA